TATTTTCTTAAAAGAGTTTCTCTCCTAAGGGGACTCTTCCACCACCATATCTTTTAAATCAACAACTACACCAACAAACGTGCAACAACCGGGCAAGGAGTCTAGTTACATTAGGATTCTATTGTTGATAGGATTCTAAGAATAGTTAGTTTTTTTCACTATAAATACATGTAATCCTTCCCATTTGTAAGACACGGATTGTGATACGAAATACAAGCAGAAATTACGAGCAATCTTAGAGTGAAATTAGAGTTTTTTTTTCCTGCAAATTTTCGAAGAGAAATACAAGGTAAATATAATATCTTTTTCGAGTTTATGCTTGCATGCTTGTGTCTTGTTACATTTTGTATTCGAAAAACACCAAAGAAAACGATTTTTTTTTGCCGATGAACAGGGGCATTTTTCGGGATCTATTTTTATAGATCTAGCCCCCGAGGCTTCTTTTCTTGAGAAAATACTTTGATTTTCGGAATGGGTGTAAAAAAGGGGTAATCTCACTCTTGGTCCCCTCTATTTTTTAAAGTATTTAATTGCCCCCCAAAATCAATGTTTTCTCTTCAAAATTGGACCTTCACGTTTCGATTCTTTCGATTTAGTCACTTTTTGAAATCCAACTTTTTTCCCTCATTTTATTTATTGTATATTTTTTATTATATTTATTTACTTTCACGTTATTATATATACACATTTTTTTTATGTTTACTATTATTTATTATTATTTCTCATGTATGTATATATTCTTTTTTATTTATTTTGTCTTCCTAGTGTTTATTTACACATGTATATATATTTTTTCTTTTCTTACCTTATTATTTTATTAATATTAATATTAGTATATATATATATATTTAAGTATACTTTCTTTTCATTTACAATATTTCTCTATTTTTGTTTCGAATTATTTATATTATTAAATTTTTTCTTATATATATATATATTATGTCATTATTTATATGTATAAGTAGAGATGTATTATTATTTAGTTACTACGTATATTTTTTGTTATTATATTTTGTTCTATATGTTTCTATATATATTTTATTTTTCTATTATTTTTATTTAATACTATGTACATCTTCATTTTGTTGTGTTTTATCTTTTTTTTATCTAACGTGTTTCTTGACTTTTCAAGGGTGTTTTTTAAAACAATCAGAGGTAAGTAATCAAGGTCAAATTTTACCTTTTAATTTAAACTTACAATTTTCTTAATTTAAAACAACTGGAAATTACGTAGTACCGAAAGGGCAGTTCAAGGGTGCTAACCCTTCCTTGACTGTAACCGACTTCCGAATCCGACATGTCTCTGGTAAAACGCAGATCAGGTAAGAAATAAGGTATATGGTCTACCTATTTGTTTTAAAATAAAAGATCGGTGGCGACTCCAATCCATTTAATCTAAGTCGAAGCCCAATTCTAGGGCCCAACCGAAATACGGTTGCGACACTAATTTTTTTGGAAGGGTTGTGATTCGGTTGCTAAGGGAGGTAGGGTCAATTGAAAGCAGATTTGTACATTGAAATTAGAAGGTGGCCTTGGTTTGAAGAATTTGCTTACCTGGAATAAAGCTTGCATGTTTATGCTCATTAGAAACATTCAATTTGGGGAGGGATTGCTTTGGGCTATATGAATGGAGGGGGATGGGCTATGTGATACTTATTGGATATGTGAATGGAGGTGGATCGGCTATGTGATACTTATGACAGTGATTTGGAAAGCATTGAGGCATTTTTAGGGAAAATTACACGGTTCCTCACTCTACTTTATTCTCTCTCCTATTTTGCTCACCATACTTTCAATTTTTCTAATTTGTTCACTGAACTTTATATATTGAATCATTTTGCTCACTCAGCCATTAATTTTTTAACAGAGTTATGATGTGTGACACGGGAATCAAAACGACTCTGTTTTGAAAAACTCAAATATACTCTAAAACGATGTCGTTTTGGTGAGTAAACTATGACATAGAATAAAGTTTAATGACTCTTGGGTAATTTACCCTTCTCGCCGACCACCACGTCATTTTCATTACGGTCACTGCGACCGCCGTAGATGGTGGTCATTTGGTCCCAAAATGGGACGGGTCGGTTCGTCTCGACCCTCTGAGTCCGGATGTGGTGGTGTTTCATCGGAAATATCCCAAAACCCGTGAATTTGGACTGAAACGTTCCAGTTTTCTCACTTTAATCTCAAATTCGTGGACTTCGAAGCAACTTCTGACAAAATAGAGATCAAATTTGAACTCACGACGTCGAGGAGAAGCGACTCATCCCATTTTGGGATCAAACAACCATCATCCACAGCGGTCAACAGTGACATTCGACCACGTTATATTTTATTTATTTTTAATTATTTATATTAAATAATAATAAAAAATCATTCGTTAGAAAGAAAACGGGGACTGAGCAAAATGATTCAATTTGTAAAGTTCAGTGAGCAAATTAGAAAAATTGAAAGTTTGGTGAGCAAAATAGGAGAGAGAGTAAAGTAGAGTGAGGAACGGTGTAATTTACCCTTTTTTTAATATCAATTTTCCAAAAATGTTTGGGGCACTGTCTTAGTCTGGTGCAATTTGTCCACGAGAGTGTTGAGTTGGGGGTGAGGAAGTAGAATGGATTGTTTAGTCCTTTAAGGTTAAATCTTTGCTACTTTTATCCTTAAGGTAGTTTAGAGTGCACATAACTACTATGTATAGGAGGAGAGGAATTGCAGGTAGGGATGGGCATGGGTCGGAACCCGTCCCTAAAAAAAATTCAGGTTCGAGTCGGGTCGGATTTTTTAAAGGTAGTGTTCGGGTCGGGTCAGATTTAGGTTTAGAGTGAAAAATACTCGACCCGACCCAAAAAAAATATAATTTTACCTTATATGTTTAGGAATAATTACAATAATACCCTTCTATATATTATTTTTCTCAATTAAATCATTGTTTTTATTGAATAAAAATAATATTTTTTTATTATTTTAGGTCGGGTCGGGTTTGGATTTTATTTCAAAAAGTCGGGTCGGGTTTTGGTCGGGTGGAGGGTATATATTATGAGGGTCGGGTCGGATTTCGAGTGGATGAGTCATTGTTCTCGGGTCGGCTCGAGTGGACCAAAAATCCGACCCAACCCAGCCCATGCCCATCCCTTATTGCAGATTGTTCAAAAAGCTATTCAAAAGTGAGAATGAAGTTTTAAATGTTATTAAAGAAATTATTAGTGTTAAGCTTAGAGGTAAAACTACTTGTAGGAATGATCTTAGACCATCTCCAGCGCATCGTTAGGGTGAGAAAATCTTCACTTTGGAGATGAATTTCAACTCCAACCCATCTCCACTTTCAACGCTAGAGTAGAGAAAAGCTACAGTGATATTCTACATCTGGAGTTACACAGTAACTGCGCTACATAATTTTTTTGTTATTTTTTTATTTTTGGTTTTAGGTTTTAGGTTTTTTTTACTTTCTTTTGTTATTTTCTTTTTCTTTTCCTTTTCTTTGTTACATTATTTTCTCTTATTCTATCTTTTATGTTTTTTTATTGTAATTTTTACACAATAAAATAAAAATTAAACATAATATAAATTGCAAGATAGATAAAAATATATTGAAATTAGATAAATAAAAATACTAATAGTTAAATATTGTGAATAAAGTAGAGTTGATGATAATGTAGAGGTAGTGCTGGAGATGAATTATTGTTTCATCTTTAGAGTAGAGATAGAGACGCTGTAGAGTAGAGATGAGGGCTAGAAATGACCTTATACATAGTCAACCATAGAAAGTATATGTAATTTCAATACCTCTATTTAGTAATAACTTTTATCTTTTTTCAATTTACTCCGTTAACTTTGTGCTTATTTAATTTGATCTTTTAATTATAACTTTATATAATTATTTCTTTCTCTTAATTTTTAACTCATTTATTCTATAATTATTATTTTGTCTCCAAAATATATTATTTTAAAAATAATATTATAGATATTATAGAATTTAGATGATATTTGATTTATTAAATAACATAATAAATCTTATATACATGTTGGGAAGAATAAAAAAAATATGAATAGTATATGATTAAGGAGAGTCATTAAATTGGAACCAATCAATATAGTAACATTATAGATAATTACAATTAAATTTGAACATAAAATTGAATAAATATATTAAATTTGATTTAATTTTCATAAACACGATTAAAAAATTAAGAAAATTTTGAACAGTAAAATAATATTCGTCAATTCAATTAATTTAATTATTTTTATTTAATTCATCTCGACATTAGGTTTTGTTTGTTTCTAAAAGTCGATTCATGCCTGGTAATTTAACATTTTTTATTAAGCTAAGGTGATTACAAAGTAGTATTTGTTATAAATACTCTCAATCATTTGGCAATGAATGCTCAATCACCGTACTGCTGCTGTTAGTGCTCGAACTGTGACCTCTAGGAACAACAATGATTCCTTTAACCACTTAGATAAGTTGGTTCGTACTGATAATTTAACATCATGTGCTCGTTTTCGATCCATGCATATATGGTATTTAGCAAGGGCATCCTTTACATTGAAAGTTTTCATAATTAAGTCCTTATATTTTTTTTATAGAAATGTTAAAGAAAGAACTTTGTTGATACAGGGAGAGGGTTTAGAGGCTGATAACAGTTCATTTGAAACATTGAGAATCGCATAAGTTATCAATAAACAGTTAATTGAGTAAGATGTGATATTAAATTTCTTAAATTTGAACAGACTCGTATCAATACGATAGTTAAAAATAATTATTTGTTAATAAAATACTCGATATCTTAATATTCAAAACTGTCAAATTAAATTTTCTTTTAGGACAATTCTTTAATATATTTTTACATATTCAGGTAATCTAATATTTCAAGTATAGAATTAGAGCTCAACGATAGCAGATTCTCAAAGGAGTATAAGAGGGCGATGGAAGACCCATCGAGACGAAGCCCAGTAAGAACCCAAGTGCCAGCTATCGTCTTCTCCCGTTTGGGTCGTCTTCCGATACAAAGGCTTGTGTTGTGCGTCGCTGTGTGAGTTGTTGCCTTTTCAGATTCTTAACAAGTGAAACGCTACACGCATTGGCAGAGGTTTTTCATTTCTTCTGAGATCCAAAACTCAGATCCTTCAAAGATCTTCACACTTCTCATCACTATGTTCAAAAAGTAAGCGTTTTTTTTTTTCTTTTGTGGGGAGTGGGTTCTTCGTTAGTTTTTCTTGGTTTTTCATTTTACAACTGCAAAATTGCAGGTAATCGGTTTTTTTTTGGATGGTTTTTTTTATTGTTTATGTGTATATATCTGGGTTTTTGCATGACCTTGGGTTGGAATTCCTTTGACTGGAGATTGAAGTAATCAAGAAGGAAACTATTGTTTGTTGTAATTTCGTTTTGGAATATATATAATGGGTTTTGGATTAATGGGCTACTTTGCAAGTATTTTGATGCTTTATAGGATGCTTAGAGCTTTGGGAAATAATAGTTGTCCATAATTGAGTGATTGAACTCATGTTTTTCATGCAAGGTTTTTGTTTGTTAATGAACAAATTAACCATTTGATGCTTAGGGTACTACCAATCGTCCAATTTGATGTTTGAGTTACAGTTAGTTAGAATTTCATTTCTTCCGTCTTCTGTAATTTCCCCTCTTTTTTATCCTTTTTTTTGTTGTTGTAGATTTTCATCTGAAGATGTATCTTCACAAAACCAAGTTAAAGCATCTGTGCAGCGAAAAATTCGGCAAAGCATCGCTGAGGAGGTGTGAATCTAGGTTACTTGATTATTTTGTTTCACAAATTATGATAACTGTTAAATTCTGAAATTAATTTCGTTTTTTTTTGTGTAATGTATTGATGCTTTTCTGCAGTATCCGGGACTTGAGCCTGTCTTGGATGATTTGCTTCCAAAGAAGGCCCCATTAATCGTTGTGAAATGGTTTGTTGCTCTTTCGCTATTGCTTTGGCACTCTTACTTGAGACACTATGCTAACAGTTCCATTCCTTTGCAGTCAAAACCATTTAAATCTGGTTTTGGTTAATAGTGTTCCACTATTCTTCAATATCCGTGATGGACCGTACATGCCTACTCTCAGACTCCTTCACCAGTGTAAGTATCTCATAATTGGGTTTTCTTCTATTCTGAACCTCATTTATTTGAGTGATGTTCGTTTGATTATATAATTGTTTACTTTGGCTCTTGTCAACTACAAAGATATGTGGCTTTCTTAACCATGATATGCTTCGTTCTCTTCTATGATAGCTTTGTGCTTTACTCTCATGTATCCTATCCTTATGGAAGTCCAAGTATAACGGTTTTGTATCTTGGTCTTGCAGATCCGAACATAATGAAAAAGTTCCGAGTAGATCGTGGTGCGATAAAATTCGTCCTCGCTGGTGCAAACATAATGTGCCCTGGTCTTACATCCCCTGGTGGTGCTTTGGATGATGAAGTGAAAGCAGAAACTCCTGTGGTATGATTCATCTTCTCTGTCACGGTTTCGGTTTATATGTTTGTTTTACATCTTCCCGATATCTGATTTGTCAACTAATCCTTTCAGGCAATAATGGCTGAAGGGAAACAACATGCTCTTGCTATTGGCTTTACCAAAATGTCAGCTAAAGACATGTGAGTTATTCTCCAGTTGTTTATGCACAGTTTGATTTTACGGACTGCCAAACTTCAACTTGAAAAGCATATTGTATTTCTTCTCCTGCCTCGAAGGAGAATAATGTAGCTAGGAACATGGCATTACTAATTTACTATGCTGTCTGTTTGTTGTTGCCTCTTAGTTATAAAAAAAGTCCTCTTTTTGTGGTCTTGTTCCGATGGTCCTACGTACTTTCCATTTCCGAACTGACAAGCATTCTGGACTACAATGACTGTGTATTCATCTCCCTTTGCAGAAAGGCAATCAACAAGGGAATTGGGGTAGACAACATGCATTACCTCAATGATGGCCTATGGAAGGTACTTATACTTGATCATTTGGTGTTTCGGATGGCATAAAGTATTTTTAATCGTCTGTTTTTCGATTGACAACCATCATAGTTACTGCAAGGCAGGCATCTATGATGAACATCCATAAGTCGAACTATTTGATACTGTCATTAAATCCATCTTTGCATTGCGTTATTTCGCAGATGGAGCGACTAGAATGAGCAAACTTGGGGGGAACAAGTGCAATGCGACCATGAAAAAAGTTGAGGTACTTGAAGAAAGAAGAGGTATATAATTAATGGCTCTTATTCGCATTGCATGATGAGTCTGTTATGTTTGATATATACTCGTACCATAGAGAAAACCTTTGTTTGATGTAAGTCAGGTTCCCCACAGCAATGTTGTGGCTGAATTTTGGATTGAAAAAAATTGCAGGTTAGCTCTGCTATGCTCTGCCCTTCTAACTATCTCAATCTTTACTCAATAATAAACATGTCCATTAGCAGATTCGGCCTGCAGTCCGATTTCAAAAATTCTCACTCTCGGATTTGAATTCGGCTTGGCTTGGCTCGGCCCGTACAAACAAGCAACACTAAATATAATAAGGTACAAGCAGGTTATAAGATGTGACCTTAGCACACAAGCACTCCAAAATCGTTTTTGTTTAACCGAGGCGACTTCTTGCATTTGCTTATGGAGGTTTGACACAACTCTCCTAGGCCAAAGTCTCCAAGAAACTCTTAACATCAAAATGAACATTAAAACTTGTGAATTAATAGCTGAAATACAAGAAATCCAAATGGAACCATTGAAGGAAGTTTTTTGGGGTTCAATTCCTCTTAAAACCTCAAATGAGCTTCATGACCACCATTGAAAGATATCATATGGGTGTAGTGGGAAGCAAAATGTAATGACTTTTGCTTTCTTGCTTGAAGAGAAAAAGAAGAGAAGATAAAGAAGAAAAAGATAAGATAAAAAAGTGGTATGCAAAACCCCAAAACTCGGCAGACAGCACCAAATCTAAAAAAAAAATTCATGTTGAGAAAATTGTGCTCTACATCTCTCTTTTTAAGTTCAAAATTTTTATAAAAACTGATGTAGTAAATGTACAAATACCTTCAACTATTTGGTAATAAATGTTTATATCCATATTCAAAAATCTCATTTTAATAATCATTTAAACTAATTTTTAATTTAATTAAATTCAAATTCAACCCAAGGGTCAACGATCAAATGTTGACTAAAAAATTTAGATCGATACACGTTATTTCTATTTAAATAAAATTTGTATAATTTTTCACTCATCATTTTTACTTCTTTCATTTTTTAAAAAATAAAATGTATCTTTCATTAGAAAAAAAAGGTAAAGAAAATATTAGTGTGATAAGAAAAGATTTATAAAAAAAAAAACTGAAATTTTAGAGTTTAATTAATTATCTAGTTTTACACAGCTTTAGATCATTGGATGAGATAAAATAAATGACTGAGATTTGCTTCTTGTTTTTCTCCCAATAAATATCTTCACGTTTTCTACTGTTAATCTCAACCGTTTATTTCATCTCATCTAACGATCTTAAATTTATGTAAAACTAAAAATTTATTTATTTAATTTCTTGGGTTTTTAGTGTTTTTAAATTGCTGTTGAGTTTTGGGTTTAATTCATCGTTTTGTATGTATAAATAACTTGTAGGAGGATAAGATTGCTGTGGTAGTGGGGACAGTGACAGATGATATTAGTGTTTATGAGGTTCCTGCTTTGAAGGTTACTGCTCTTAGGTTTACCGAGACTGCTAGAGCTAGGATCGAGAAGGCTGGGGGAGAATGCTCGACTTTTGATCAGCTTGCTTTAAGGGCTCCCTTGGTACAAACACGGTATTCGATCTCTTGTTCAGTTTGTTTTGTTGTTTCATGACATTGATTTGTCTTTTTTGTTTTGAACGTATGTTGATTTGTTTTTTTGGTTGGATTGGTGTTTTTAAGTTATGCTTTCGTCGAAATCTCGTTTCTCTTTGTTCATCTTCTGTCGAAACTCGTTGAAATTGAACGTCGGATGTTTGTTTCATGCACTAGTTGAGTGAGGATTGTAATGACTTCGTCTGAATGAAATGTGCTAAAACATCTGTTTACAATGTGAACCTATAGATGATTCTGTAATTATGTATGTTCGATACCATAATGTTCATATCCCTCGTTCATGTCTCAAGAAACCTCTTCTTATTTAACCTTCTATAGGAAGCGAAGCACATTGGTGTCTTGCCTTAACCTGTTCTTTTGTGCTCTTCTGCTAATTCTCGTATTCTGAATTAAACTGTTGGTTGAGTATCTTATTTACATTGGGATGCATTGCAGGTTCTCCTCCAAGGTCCGAAAGATTCCCGCGAAGCGGCTAAACACTTTGGTCCCGCACACGGTGTTCCTCACTGCCTCACCAAACCACCGGTGTTTCGATTTAATCAATCAGACCACCAAACTATTTAAATGTTTCAATCAAGTCATTAACCGTTAATTTTTAACGAATAAAGTGATATGACAGTTAATTTTTTTTATATATATATAATTACATATTTGATCCTCAATATTTATACACCATATCAATTTAATCTAGAATTAGATAGTGACACGTATCAATATCAAATTGAATGATATTTTCTTAACTTTTTATTTATTCAATATATTTATTTTCCTCATGCGTTGGTGGCATGTGTCACCATATTGATAAAAGAGAATGAAATGGTGAATTGTAGCAGGTGGGATTTGAACTTGGTTAAATCACAATGTGTGCACATGGCTAAACCACCAACTAACCAGCACAAATGGTTTAATGATAAAACATAATCTATATATCTATTTCCATTAATGACAGAAAAATATATATTTTTTATTCAACTTATTAAATATATTTTATTTTAATTTTAATTTAAAACTGCATTTTATTCTTATCTTAACTTTAAAAATATATTTTATTCTTATATTAACTTAAAAATATATATGTTATTAATTTATCTTCAAATTATATATTTATTCTTTTATTTACTTTAAGGTAATAATAAAATACATTTTATAAGTTAATAAAAAATAATATATATATATATATATATATATATATATATATATATATATATATATATATAAGTTAAGAAGATAACAATTATATTTTTAAATTAATAAAAGAATAAAATATATTATTTAAATAAAATATATTTGAAGTTAACATATAACAAATATATTTTAAGTTAATAAAAAATATACTATTTGAAGTTGAGATATTTTAAAAAAATCATATACAAGATATATACCATATGTTGTAAAGCATAAACCATTTAGTATCCTTGCCTTAGTGGTCGGTAACTTGCTTAACAGCCTAGTTGACCATCGATTCTCTCATATGCTAACTTCTTTAATTTTTTTCTTATAGTTATAGGGTGACACGTGTCACTCTTTGATTGGAGAAAAATAAATTTAATGAAATAAATATAAATAAATTTAACCATCCAATTAAAAGCTAACACATGTCGCAATTTAATTAGAGGGTTAAATTTATTTAATTTACTTAAGATTATGATCAAATTGACATCTTATGTAAGTAACAAAGACCAAATATGTAATTATACCGAAAAATCAATTGAGACATCATTCTCTCGGTTAAATTTTAACTACCGCTTCATCTCTTCCGTTAAAAGTTAGCGGTCAGTGGCTTGATTGAAACATTTAAATAATTTGGTGGTCTAATTGATTAAATCGAAACAATAGTGGTCCAAATGATTTTTTATCACAGTTGAATGGTCTTCCGTTAAAAGTTAACGGTTAGTGGTTTGATTGAAACATTTAAATAGTTGGTTAGTCTAATTGATTAAATCAAAACATCAATGGTTCAAATTATTTTTTATTATAGTTTAATGGTTGTCCGTGTAGTTTACTCTAAATTAAAACCAGTAAGAGGCTGACCCCTTAGAGCAAACCCAAACAAATAGGGAAATTCTACCGTGAGATAGCCTTAATATATGGTTGTTATTATTTTTTAATAAAATTGGTAAAAAATTATCTAAAACATTATTATTTCTATCTAACACATTAATGTTTTTTAACATTTCCGGTAAAGTGTCCATAATAACAAAATCGATAGAAAAATAACAAACCGATAACGTTTTACCGGATATGTTAACAAAACCGATAAAGCACCTAATAATAAAATCGATAAAAATACTAATTTTTAATAATTTTTATCGATTTTATTAAAAAAATAATAAAACCAATAATGACTTTCCCAAACAAATAGGATCTACCTACCCAAGAAAAAAAAATCTATGAACGCCAAAAGAAAAAAAAACTCAAAACCCAAGCCTGCTAACGTGCGCCTAAAGATTTTTCATCATGGTAGAATTTATGATAAATTTGTAATTTTATTCGCTTGTTAAATAAAATACCATTATATTTATATTAATCATTAAGTAAAAATTATCTTGTTTTGCATGATTAGCTTATATCCTAGCATAATGAACGGAGGAAACTAGATTGTGAGAGTCACTCTTGTAATGAGCTTCGGTAATACTCGATCTGGATTAATCGATCAATAAATCGAATACTAATAGTTAAATAAAAAATAGTATAAAGACTAAATCTAAAATTTGAGCATAGTAAAAGGGACCAAAACTATAATTTGACCTTTAACTAATGGCATGAATCATTTAAGGGTGAATTACAATATACATCCTCTAACTATCAATAACATTTCAGTTAGATCCTTTATTCAAATTTTTCATCTGTTTGAGTATTAAATATCACCTCAAATTTGACCTGCATACAGTGACTGAATTTTAAATATTGTACTCATGTTGCATTGATAATTTTGATTTAATATATTTTTTAAAAGATAGGTTTCTTTCTTTTTCAATTTAATATATACATTACATGCTAGTTGTCCACGCAACAAGTACACATAGAAACTTCATTCAAGAACATTGATAGTATGAGGACTCAATTAGAATGATTTTAAGTTTGTGAAACAATTTCAAATCATAACCATAGTTTAGGGACGTCCGGTGAAATTTACTCAATTTTTAACAACAACAGTCTTGCAAATTATGTGCATATCTTTCACTGGTTAAAAAAATGGTAGAAGATGTTCTATCAACTGTTTCTTATGTAATGATCGCACGCTTGTACAGCATATCGCCGCCCTCGGCCGGAGAATACTTCAACGCCGGTTGCCTCGTAATACTTTCATCTTCGTTATGTGCCATGACTGTTGGCATTCAAGTACCAAGGCTGCAAATAAGCGAATTAATACCGGTGGAATGTATTGAAGAAGGGTGGAGTACTACGGAACCCCAGTCTCGAGCGCCGAGTTTCGCTTCTTTCAACCTCCGTCGTATCAACAACTTTCCGACATCTTCCTTAGTTACCTCGGACACGGTCCGAAGTATTGAAAG